TCAACTCCCAGAATTCCCCAGCCAGCATGAGTATTCTGGGAGTTGAAGTCCAGACATCTTAAAGTTGCCAAGGTTGGGAAACACTGCTCTAAATTAAAATCCAGCTTCTTTTGTTCTCTGGTGCATTTGTACTGGAAGCATTACTGGTAGTATATATTAAAACAGCTGTGACTGTTTCCAGAATTGTGCAGCTGCTGTTTAATGAGTTGCCAACGGATGTTTGCATTTCTCTTCCCATGCATGTCAAAGAATATTTTTGTAATCAGATCTGATGCTTTGCAAAGCCTTAATTGATGAATACCATCACTGAGAAATTACTGTTAAAACATTGCTCTACCTTTGGGTTGCACAAGAAGTAAATCACTATTTTTGGTTTTGAAAGCTTTTGGTATTTTCTCTGTTGCCTTTGTCATAGATTTTTAGGTTCAGGTCACTGATAACTTAAAAGCAGCAGCAACTCAGTTTGCTGGCTTTAGGGAAACCAACAGAAGTCAGACACTTGGACGTGTAAATGAATATAGTCCTAGGCATAGCATGGTTAGACATTATCATCATCACATTTTCATCCAGTTCAAAAACACCATTCACCTCCTCTTTGTCCTTATGAGGAGACTGGAAACTTTTGATCTCAAGAAACCGCAGTTCCTCATTCATTATACGTGAACTCAGGGGACAATAGCTTCAAATTCCAGAACAAGCCAGGATTTGAAACCATAGTAGTAGCAATCATAGGGATCAATCACAGTGGAAACTCTACCCTAGCCCAAAGAAGCAGGAAGTGTGAAATGGTGGCTGATGGTGCTGGCCAGAGCCAATAATGTACATGGGAGGTCTATCAGTTGGCCAGAAGTTGAAGCCTGAAATGAGCTGCAGCTGTGGTTAAGCAAGGAGGTTATCCAGGGTTGACTGAAGCAAAATACAGTGAAAATGTAGGGAACAGGAGAGAAGGAGTTTGGTGGTTGGTGTGCCAGTGGTATACCTCAGCATGGACAATGCTTATCCTATTTTAAGAGGAGTAGGAGTTGGGCAAAGACAGTGATTCAAAATAGCAAAAATATAATTCTTTGCTGCCATCTAGTTGTCAATATTTAGGCAGTCCTACCATTGTATGCATCTATTTGCTTGCACAGATATTCTCTGTCTCTGTCTCTCTCTCTTTTGAGTCCTTGAAAGGTACTTGATGCCCTATAAAGAATGTTATCATGCAGTCAATATCGTGCGAGCCAAATATTTATTCCCTCTCTGCCTGTGACCCACCTATAGCTTCCTATGAGCAATTTCAATTTCTAGAGTTAAAAAAAAATCTCTTTTGGTGTGCTTTGATACTGAAAGAAACTTTTTAGAGGGGAAAATGGACAAGAAAGGATAATTCATTTCTTCTCTCCTCCCCTTCAGTCTTAATTGGCCTGCTTGAAAGTGCTTTTCTGGTTTAAAAAGATTCTCTCTCTCTCTCTCTCTCTCTCTCTCTCTCTCTCTCACACACACACACACACACACACACACACACACAAACACACAGACCACTTTCCCCCCTCACAGCTTCCTCATAAAGTAGGTTATGCTGAGAAATGTGATCGGTGGTTTGAGACTACCCAGTTTTATGGCTGAGCACAGATCTGAACCCAGATCTCCCCAGTTTTACTTTGACAGTCTAACATTATCTCCTGTGCAACTGGCTAATGCCATGGAACCATTTTTACAAACATAAAACCCAAAACAACATCCAAGGTATTATTAAATCTAGTACATTTAAGCCAGCAATAAAAAACTGGTAGAAGTATTAAAGATTAAACACCTGCTAGAAGGAAACAGCAGGCATCACTGCAAAAACCCCTCTTTCCTTGCAGCTATCTTCATACCATTTTGGCTGGTGACATACAGAGAAGAGCCTCCAAGGAGGATCTGAACAACTAGGCAGGAATACATAGGATAAAGCAAACTTTTCCAATGTTGTAATATAACCAGAACTTCCTGAATACCACATGAGATCACATTGTCACTATAACATGAATCAGTAAAACTGCTGTAAAAATGCCCAGTTTCAGTTTTGGGAATTACAGTAAAGCATTTCATAGGAAACCTTTAAAATAGTGTGAGGACTAGCAGTGCAAATAGGAATATAGTAGGATATACATCAATGCAAAAAGAACCCAACTCAAAGAACTTAAATTCATCTGTAATTCCACATGTAATTTACAGCAAAAGCACACTGATTTTTTATGATTTTGCGTCATCAAATTGGCTCTTAGCAATAACATAGATAGATTTTCTCCATGAGTTCTGTCCCTAATCTAGTCCTTCAGGTCTTCCACTGGTAGACCCACCACCACACTAACTGAGTTCCTCCACCTTGCTGTCAGTTGTCCTCTTCTCTTTCTTTCCACCTTTCCTAGCATTATAGGCTTATTCAGAGAACAAGGTCTTCATGTAATGTATCTGAAGTATGATAATTTGAGCCTGGTGATTTGTGCCTTGAGTAAGAACTTTGGGTTGACTTGTCTGATGATCCATTTGTTTATTTTCTTGGCTCTCTTGGCTGTTCTTGGTGTTTTCAGGAGTTTTCTCCAAAACAACAACAAACTGCACTGATTTCCCTGATTTGTTAGGGACATACAGTCAGGTCCAGAAATATTGGGACATCGACACAATTCTAACATTTTTGGCTCTATACACCACCACAATGGATTTGGAATGAAACAAACACAATCGGTCATCCACCACAGTTGTTTTCCGTTGTCTCCCGGGTCTTTTGGTGTTGCTGAGCTCACCGGTGCGTTCCTTCTTTTTGAGAATGTTCCAAACAGCGGTCATCCACCACAGTTGTTTTCCGTTGTCTCCCGGGTCTTTTGGTGTTGCTGAGCTCACCGGTGCGTTCCTTCTTTTTGAGAATGTTCCAAACAGCGGTCATCCACCACAGTTGTTTTCCGTTGTCTCCCGGGTCTTTTGGTGTTGCTGAGCTCACCGGTGCGTTCCTTCTTTTTGAGAATGTTCCAAACAGCGGTCATCCACCACAGTTGTTTTCCGTTGTCTCCCGGGTCTTTTGGTGTTGCTGAGCTCACCGGTGCGTTCCTTCTTTTTGAGAATGTTCCAAACAGCGGTCATCCACCACAGTTGTTTTCCGTTGTCTCCCGGGTCTTTTGGTGTTGCTGAGCTCACCGGTGCGTTCCTTCTTTTTGAGAATGTTCCAAACAGCGGTCATCCACCACAGTTGTTTTCCGTTGTCTCCCGGGTCTTTTGGTGTTGCTGAGCTCACCGGTGCGTTCCTTCTTTTTGAGAATGTTCCAAACAGCGGTCATCCACCACAGTTGTTTTCCGTTGTCTCCCGGGTCTTTTGGTGTTGCTGAGCTCACCGGTGCGTTCCTTCTTTTTGAGAATGTTCCAAACAGCGGTCATCCACCACAGTTGTTTTCCGTTGTCTCCCGGGTCTTTTGGTGTTGCTGAGCTCACCGGTGCGTTCCTTCTTTTTGAGAATGTTCCAAACAGTACACCGTTCACCTGAGTTGGATGTACATACCCTCAAATTAAAGCTGACAGTCTGCAGTTAACGCACATTGTGGTTGTTTCATTCCAAATCCATTGTGGTGGTGTATAGAGCCAAAGATGTTAGAATTGTGTCGATGTCCCAATATTTCTGGACCAGACTGTAAGTTGTCATCACAGAAGAATCTAAAATAGGAATTACAAAGCTATATATTATAATGGTCTACTTTTTCTGGTATCTTGACAGGGCCCTTTTCGCATGACTCCTGATTTTGCTGCATCTCCTGCAGTTGGGTATATTCCCCTAAGCCAGAAACCTGAAGCAGTGGTACATGCTATGAAGGTACGTATTTATATTTGTGTGTGCATCAAGTCTTATTTTGCATTCTGGCACAAAGGGGATAATTGCTTTGATAGCCACTGAGATATCCGTTGCCAGTTTTCTGCACTTGGTGTCCTCTAGAATGTTGAGCCCCGAAGGACATCAGATTGGAGAAAACTGCTGAAATATAGAATGGGGAATCTAATGGTATTCCAGCTTTTAAAAGTTTTGCCTGAATATGTGCTGTTCATTCACAGTATAAGTAATGGCAGTACTGGGCAATAGGATAGACAGCAAAAGAAACAAAAGTGCTATTGCATAGCTATGTATTTCTAATGAATGAGATACAAGGAAAGAGTTTGGAGCTGGCAGTAACACATGACAGACTTTCTCAGATTGGATAACCAGCAACCATTAATTAAACCACCTCAGTTTGCTTGGTTCATCTGTTCTCTGAAAGCAGTCACTAGCTGGTTCCCAGCGTGCCATTTCTGACTCTGAGCTTTGGGATTTGATAATGATTCAATCCACTGCTTTCCTTTGAGACAGTTGAGTATATTGCAGACATATGAAGGCCAAATGAGTTTGCGCCACAGTCTGCATCCACCTGGATCAATAATTAATTCTTTCCTTTTCATTTAAGATCTAGCATTATTTGTCAGTTAGCAAATCCCTCTTGTTTCCCTTGTATCCTTCCCCATAGAAAAAAGAAAGCAATGGATTGAAGTATTTCAAGCCATGCAAACTTGCCATTGTCTTAAAGTTAGTGAGTTATACAATTTTAAAGTAGGTTAAGATAAGTAAGCAAATGGCCCAATTTTATAATTGAGGATTTAAAAAGAAGCAGGAAAAAGGAAATAGAGTACTAGTCTAATTCTAAGCAATCAACATGCAGTTATATCATAGAAAAATAATATGTAATTCTGGAAAGTATACTTTACACACAACTATGGATTTGAATAAAAATTGATTGCAATGTTATCCTCAGTTTTGGAATCCAAGAAAAACATACTGGATTTTGCAACCAGAATGTATTCATTTATTATAGCATTTATATCCAGACACAATCCAATAGATTCTGGGCTGCTCACATACAATCATAAAAACATAGTATCCTATCATCAATAAGATTCAATTCAATAACAAAATTAAAAATGCTTTAAAAAGCTCCTTAAACTCCAAATGTTCACCAGAGAAGCATGGTCTTCACTCAGACATGTGAGTGGGGGACCATCCAAATGTCAGAGAGTAAGCTATTCCACAGATAAGGGGCTACCAACAAAAATGCCTGGTTCCAATTTCCCAATCCCTTAACATCTGGAATCTGCAGTATCCCCTCCTGGTCTGATCACACAAGATGGTGTAGTGCTGTTGTGGAAGATACTTGTCACAGCAAGAAGATCTAGTGGTACACACCAGTTTTCCTCTGTGCCTCTGTATATAAACTTTTTTAGGTCTTTGACTTTTTCAGAGCAACGGTATGTTTTCCATTTTCTTGTTAGGAGGCTCTCTAGTTACTTTCTACTTCCCTAACGTGTTATTAATCTTTAAGATACATTTAAAGGCCAGCCACATGGAGGAAAGAGGGGGTAAATCTGTGAACTTATGCTGTCTAGAGAAATGTTTCTGACTGCTGATAAGTAAATATAAGCAATATATTTACAAGAAGAAGTTAGAATCACAAAATGGGCACTTTCTCAGAAGCAGAACCTCAGCGGAGGCTGGGTCTTAGAACAGGGCTATGTACCTGCTGGACTTAACAGGTTTTATCTGCTGTCATTCTCTGAGCAGGAGAAATGATGTAGTTTGCATCATTTTCCTTTAACACATTCTTTTTCTATATCTCTATTATTTGTGTTGGCATTTAGGTATTTATTTTATAGCCACTCTCTCAAAATGACTCAGGAAGGCATCCCCCCGCCCCCAGAGAGAGAGAGAGAGAGAGAGAGAGAGAACACGACAGTAAATTGTCATAAAATATAAAATATGATAAAACTAATATAAAAATTATGCCAAGGCAACTCAACAAACAATCATATTGGACAGGATCACAAATCTCCCTGACCCAGGGCCTGGGGTAAAAGCCAGGTCTTTAAGGCTTTAGAAAAAGTAGACAAGGATAGGTGCATCTGTATTTTGGCAGGAGTGCTCTTCCATAGGACAGGTCCAGCGACATGTCGCCTGGTCCCATAAGATGTTGTTGCTTATATCAGCACTAGGTAGTACTGTCACTAGGTAGACCAGACCAGAAATTCAACTTCACAGGAAAATCAGAACTACACTTTATTGAGTTTGACTATAAATAACATAATCTTGCTGTACCTCCCCTCTTTCTTATACGCCAGTGAATCAGGGAGTTGTCTGCCTGAGCTGCTTCCAGATATTATCTTGTTTCCCAGGGCTTAAAGAATGTTTCAGCCCTCCTTGCCTAGGTAACAGTTCTTGCATATTTCTGTCAAGTTCACCTCCCTTACTCTTTACACTTAAGAGATGGGACCTGGAGCAAGCTGACCTTGTTGGACCTTATTGGATGGGCACAACTAGCCAGAGACAGGTGATTCTGCAAATCACCTGGCCTTGTGCTATGAATTTTAAAGGTGATAACTAAGGCTTTCAGTTGCCCCTGGAAGCCCATTGGTAACCAATGCAGCTTGCAAAGTAGAGGTGGTGTATGGGTGGACTGAGGTGCACCGTAACTACTTGTGCCACTGCATTCTGGACTAGCTGCACCTTCTGGTGGTCTTCAAGGGCACCCTTATGTAGAGTGCCTTGCAGTAATCTAGACACAAGGTGAGCAAAGCATGAGAGACCATGAATCAGGTCTTTCAATCCAAGAAAGTGTGCAACTGGTGCACAAGATTTTTTAAATAAGTTGTATTTTATTTTCACCTCATTGATTGCCTCTGAATCCTGGAATCTGCATTTCACCATTTCCTGTTGTAAATCTATTAGGAAAACAGCTGGGCAGATTCTTTCTGATGAAGAGTGTCCTGTAGGTAAAGAGGAAGCTGTGAGAGGAAGGGAAGAGAATACATTAGGTACATGAAGAATGTAAACAAATCATAGTTAAAAGAGATTACACAAGTTGTTCCTGCTTGGTATAACATTGTAGCCAATTAATAAGTGAGGATCTTTTGAACCAGTCTTAATGGCCTGAATGTTGGACAGCTGTTGAGGAGATCCAAGCCTGGGAAGAAACTCAGAGCAAAGGACTGGAACCAATCAGAGCCTCTGGAAAGGTGCTCAAACTGGAAAGCTGGAAAGCTGCTCAGACTTTTGAGGAAATAAAAGATGCTGAAAATCTTCTAGCAAAGAAAGAAGAATTCTGACATGTGCTTTGCCTCTCAAGCTGCAATCTTTTTCTACAATGTACTTTAGCTTCCATTTAGCAAAAGACTGGAACCAATCAGAGCCTCTGGAAAGGTGCTCAAACTGGAAAGCTGGAAAGCTGCTCAGACTTTTGAGGAAATAAAAGATGCTGAAAATCTTCTAGCAAAGAAAGAAGAATTCTGACATGTGCTTTGCCTCTCAAGCTGCAATCTTTTTCTACAATGTACTTTAGCTTCCATTTAGCAAACCAGTTCCTGCCTTCATGGGTGGGAAGCTGATTGGCCCTTTTTTACACTGGCTTCTGGGGTAATCATTGCTACTTGAATCATTCTGAAGTAAGGACCATTAAGCAGGAGTTTTAGGGCTATAAGGATGATTTTTTTCTCTCTACATGTAACATATAAATGCAACAAGACAAAAAAAAAACTATTATAAAACGTTGTGTCTTACTGCTGTGGGGGTTGCATATACCCACAAAGATTTATGAGCCAGAGATACTGATAAGCTCTGGATGTTAAGCACAGATTTACTGTAATAAGGTGAAAATAGGCAATAAGAATTCTGCTAAGATTTCTGTGGTTGTTTGCTTCCCTGGCTTTGCAGCATGGTGATCCAAAAGCAGTATTCATATTGTGAATCTATCCCTCTTCTTCCAGTGTCCTATTACATTCATCCAAGCACCACAACAGCAAAAACATTATGCAATGGGAGGATATAAATGGATGAAAATTGGTGAACGAGAATTAACAATTCTGTTACTTTGATGAAGTGCTTGTTCTTAATCACCTGTACTAATCTAATCTTTAGAACAAAAAGACACTTCCCTAGTAGCTTTCCCTAATTAGAACACACACCTCTCTGGTTACCTCATTGAGAAAGTAATGTAATTGATTGGGGATATCTCTGGGGAGTTTCTGCTGGAATTGAGTGCACAAAAGGGACAGGTATATTGTAAATTGGAATCACTAATTTGTGGAATAGTTGTTAACCATGTCCTAGTGATATCAGAGGTTAGTGTGCTCACTGGAGACACAGATCCAAATATGGATTGAGAGAGGATCAGTTCAACACAGGTGGCAGAACCAATTCCACAGAGAACCCTGTCCACTTTCTCTGATTCCACAAGATGAAACGAACTGAGGTAATTTCACAAGATACCATCCCTGTTATCTTATGCTGCACCTAAGTATGAGTGAATATAAGCATTTTTCCCCCCCAGCAAAATGGCTAACAAATATGCTATAGCAGCCTTAAGGAAGATCACCCCTATAAGTTATGGGCCATTGCAAAGAGGGCTGCTGGATGACATTCTGCTGACACAATAAGGGCAGAGAAGTAATGATACCTTGCTGCCGTTATCGCTAAAGTGTTGGCCGAATTTTGGGTGTGTATCTGTGTTTGGCCAAACCTGTTCATTGTCTTTTCCCCTGCTGGTGTATTTGGCATTTCTTCTCTTACTTCAGCTCTCTGAGCTCCTTGAACCACCCTGGATTTGTGAACAAGAGATTGTCCCAGTCAGAGCAATCATGTCCAATGCCTTTGTTATTTCCAAATTCCAGAAATTGGCCTGGGTTGTGACAAAATTATCCACCATATCACTGGGAAGATCCTCAAGTACTTGCTGAAGACAGATCCATAAGATACCTGGACACACTTATGGAAGTTGATGGTATCAAAGAGCTCCATACTAACCAGAAAGTTATCTGAACATGATAAAAGATTGTTGGCAACTTTCAAACCACAAACTTGAGGCAAAGACTAGATCAAGCATATGTCCAGCTCTGTAGGGCAGGCCTGTAGTTACCATGGAAGCCATGAATTCCTGAGCCACCCCAATTTCTGCTCCCAGGACACTGAGGTTAAAATCTTTGAGCACTAATAACTGTGGTGAATCCAACACTAGCCCCACCAAATGAGATCCAAAAACTTGAACATAGATGCTGTTGGTGAAGGGTGGGGCATTAAACCCCAGTTTTTCCCTTCAGCCCAACTTCAGGAACAGACACTTGCATCCAGCCATCTGATGAGAAAGTCCTTTGGTCAACATCAAGGACTCAGGAAGGATTATTGCCACCATCCCTCTTTGTTGAATTGTGACTGATGAAACACCCGATAAACTGGTAGGCAGATCTCGGATAAGGCTATATCATCCCTGCCAATCCAGGGCTTGATTATACAGTGGGGCAAAAAAGTATTTAGTCAGCCACCAATTGTGCAAGTTCTCCCACTTAAAAAGATGAGAGAGGCCTGTAATTTTCATCATAGGTAAACCTTTTGCAAATAAATTCTTTAAAAATCAGACAATGTGATTTTCTGGATTTTTTTTCTCATTTTGTCTCTCATAGTTGAGGTATACCTATGATGAAAATTACAGGCCTCTCTCATCTTTTTAAGTGGGAGAACTTGCACAATTGGTGGCTGACTAAATACTTTTTTGCCCCACTGTATAATCAAGCCCTGGATTGGCAGGGATGATATAGCCTTATCCGAGATCTGCCTACCAGTTTATCGGGTGTTTCATCAGTCACAATTCAACAAAGAGGGATGGTGGCAATAATCCCTGGATTTTTTTTCTCATTTTGTCTCTCATAGTTGAGGTATACCTATGATGAAAATTACAGGCCTCTCTCATCTTTTTAAGTGGGAGAACTTGCACAATTGGTGGCTGACTAAATACTTTTTTGCCCCACTGTATAATCAAGCCCTGGATTGGCAGGGATGATATAGCCTTATCCGAGATCTGCCTACCAGTTTATCGGGTGTTTCATCAGTCACAATTCAACAAAGAGGGATGGTGGCAATAATCCCTGCCTGGATTTTTTTTCTCATTTTGTCTCTCATAGTTGAGGTATACCTATGATGAAAATTACAGGCCTCTCTCATCTTTTTAAGTGGGAGAACTTGCACAATTGGTGGCTGACTAAATACTTTTTTGCCCCACTGTATAATCAAGCCCTGGATTGGCAGGGATGATATAGCCTTATCCGAGATCTGCCTACCAGTTTATCGGGTGTTTCATCAGTCACAATTCAACAAAGAGGGATGGTGGCAATAATCCCTGGATTTTTTTTCTCATTTTGTCTCTCATAGTTGAGGTATACCTATGATGAAAATTACAGGCCTCTCTCATCTTTTTAAGTGGGAGAACTTGCACAATTGGTGGCTGACTAAATACTTTTTTGCCCCACTGTATAATCAAGCCCTGGATTGGCAGGGATGATATAGCCTTATCCGAGATCTGCCTACCAGTTTATCGGGTGTTTCATCAGTCACAATTCAACAAAGAGGGATGGTGGCAATAATCCCTGGATTTTTTTTCTCATTTTGTCTCTCATAGTTGAGGTATACCTATGATGAAAATTACAGGCCTCTCTCATCTTTTTAAGTGGGAGAACTTGCACAATTGGTGGCTGACTAAATACTTTTTTGCCCCACTGTACATGCTGGGCTGGTTTGTTTCTGCTTGATCAAGTTGTGGAATATCATGATCTTATTACATGCTCTGGCATTCAGTAGCAGTAGCCTGAGCACAAGATCCAAGGGGTATGATATCCAAGATTTAAGGATTACAATTGTTATTTTTGTTAGCGATGGCTAACAAATCCTCTTTCACTGAAATTAACAGTTGTATTCGCAGATGATTTCTGAGATTTTTATAGATCCTACTTTTTCACAGTAGGGTTAAGAAGTAGGAATTTACTTCTTTAAATATTAATATGATGCCATCATATTTTCAGTAGGTTCTGGAATAGTTGTTGAACTTCATATTACTGACATAGATAACATTCAGGCATATATCTCAGGACATATGGAGACTAATAAGTAGCATTTTCTTGAGTAAAAATAAGTAATAATTACTACTACTGTAATCTACAAAATCAGACTAAAAGTCCAGTTAGCCTAACATGCTTTTTCCAACAATGGTTGGTCAAATGATTCATACATAACCAGAACACAAGGAGAAACTATATCTTACTGTTTGTCTTCAACATCTAGTAAATAGGTGTTTAAGAGAAAGGTTTAACTTTGACAAAAAGACAGTTGGAATTGAATTATATAAGATGGAATTTGAGATTGTGTTATGTACAAATGATGAACGTGTGGCTGCTAAAATGTATAAGTTTTTACTGAAATTTGAAATGGAAGAAGAACAAGTTAAAGAGTATATGATAAAATGGGCCAAGACTTTTGGTTATAATATATAGATGGACCAATGGAAGAAGATGTGGTTGAAAGGACTGAAATTTACATTATGTTATAACTTAAAAGAGAACTTTTACAAAATGTTGTACCATTGGTATATGACATCAGAAAAATTATTTTGGATATATACAGATACTTCAAAATTATGCTGGAAATGTGGAAAACATGAGGCGTCATTTTATCATGCATGGTAGACTTGTAAAAAAGCTAGAAATTTCTGGGTCCAAATACACATCGTGAATTTTAAAGATTAGCATTCAGCTGAAACCAGATTTTTTTTGTTGGGACTTATGGACAGTCAACTAGAAAAAACTCATGGATTGCAGCAAAATTATTATATACACAAAGATGGAAAGATTTGGATGGAGGAATGGTTGGTGAAGATGACAGAATTTGCAGAAATGGTTCCTTGTCTTCCTAAGTACATTTATTAGTGACTGGAAACCCTTTATGGTCTTTTTGCTGAAAATGGAAAAAAATGAACTGGTGCTTTATGGATTTGATGATTAGAAAGGGTAAAATATGGAAAGAAGGGAATCATGATGTAACCTTAAAGAGGGAGGACAAATGATAAATGTATTTTTTGCTGCTGTAAAGAAGATCAAAAGCTGCTGCTTTTTCCTTTTCTTCTTTTCCTTTTCTTTACCTATTCACCACTTTTCTTTATTCTTTTCTCTTTTTCTTAAATTTGTATCATTTTTACAATTATATAAAATTCTTCAATAAAAATAATTTTAAAAATTGAGTAAATAGGTTTATAATAATAGGATTGGTATAACAAAGATTGCAGAAACATTATTATTCCGTATATGTATATGTATATGTATGTAGCACCCAGAAAATGGAATTTGTTTCTGCTGGCAAGACAAGCACCTGGCAAGTTTCCTTTCATGGGACATCCTTCTCTTGCAATCCATTGGTGGAATTTCAGGAATAATAGGAGTTTGCGCTTCAGGGGAAATTGATGAATATTATTTCTCTCCTTTCCTTCATGGAAGTATACTTTGGATCTAAGCCAGTAGAAGAGTGTGAGGTTTTCATCAAACTTGTGAAAGTTTCCATTCACAAGTGATTACAATTCTCCTTGAGAAAATGATTTGAGTATTAAAACATAGACAACTGCTTTTTGCCATCAAGCTTAGAACTGTCTACATTGGCCTTTTCCAACCTTCTCTCCAGATTGTGGAAATTCTGATCCTAATACAAATGAGGATCACCAGGCTGAGGAGGGCTGTGCTGGACTGACTGATAGCTCTCTTGGGTTCAGAGATGTCTTCCTAGAAAAGAATGTGGTGAATGTATGGGCTCTACTACCAAGCTGTAGCTATTCCAGAGTGAACCCCCACACTGTAGTATTTTCCAAATCTTTATATAGTGATAGAGAACTTTCTTTATTAATTTGCACTGAAATAATTTTCAGCTGGAGCAATATAGGAACTGAATTAAACCACTGGTCTTCCTAGTTCATTATCAGCACAGCTTGAGATCTCATCTGTTGTATTGTTTTTTTCAGTGTTGGGAACTAGATAATGTCATAGCTATATCAGTAAGATCCAGTGAGGATGTGTTTGATGTGTACGTGTTTATGTAATGTTAAAAATCAATTACATACTTTCCTGGATCTCCTACCATGCCAACCACTAATTTAAGTTTAGAGCTGCCTATGAATGAAAGACTTGGATAGTATTCCATAATATTTTATTGGTGCATTGTAATTTTTTCAGTTTTGATCCCTTCTCTTTCTTTTTCTATCTTTATCTCTGTGCGTGTTCTGAGATTTTGCTCTGTGTAGGCTGTAATGATTCACGATGTGACATATTTTATAATTTCATCTCCACTGTGTTTGTCTGTAGGTCCTTGAAGTCCATGAAAATTTGGACAGGCAGATACAAGAAAACTATGAAGAAGACCTGAGTGAAAAGGAGAAAGCAATTGTTCGTGAAATGTGCAATGTAATGAATCCATTTTCATAGTCTTTCACATGTTAGCTGTTCACTTCCAGTTGTGTTCATGCTGTCCAATATCTTGTAGGATCTGTTCTGTCTGTTCAGACTTATTTGATTGCTGTCTTCACAATCTGAAGAAAAAATAGTTTACAAAGCAAGTGACAGTGCAGTCCTATATATCTAATCAAGGAAATCCTACCGAGTTCAGTGGCACTAATTCTCAAGTAAGGTTGTATACCAGCTTTCTCCAAACTAGTGCTTTCTAGCTGCATTGGACAACAACTCCCATAATTCTTGGTCAACACATTTAGAGGGAGCCCAATGGGAATGTTGCATAGGATTGAAGCCTGAATTGATAATAGATACAAAAGGAGAAATATTTGGAAATGATCAGTTTTTATACCTGACAAGCACAAATGGTCTCTTTCACAGCAGCCTCCTGGAGAGAAAGGAAAAAAGGAGATCTGAGAAAGAAAGTGAGGTAGAAAATAAAGAACCAGAAAGAAAAAAGGGGAAGGTAAAAGTTGAAAAAACAGAAAGAGAGTAAAAATTAGTAGCATAAGAAGAAAAATGGGATTTTAAAGAGAGAGAGAGAGGGAGAAGAAACATCCATCTTATTATGCCCTACTCGCATTTGACTCTGTCTAAGCCATCTCTGTCTCCATCTCCAAGAAACATACTAAATTATGTAAACAAAAACTATGAAACAAGACCATGTCACCAATGGTCAGAAGCACACCAGGTCCCAGGGGACAGGTGCTCCAACACATGGTTTCTGGGAGAGTACACTTTGCAGCAGAGACAGAGGCTGCCTGCTGTACCCTCTGGGGTGGAGTGCCACATCCCCCACTTTCCATTCCTTTCTGTAAAAGAAGCGGCTTACACCCAAGTAGTTTTGCTGACAGTTTCAAAACAGGGCAAGCACCTTTTGCCATGATTCATCCAATGTCTGCCTTTCCTGTGTGTTGACATTCTTCCCATGTGTCTGCTTTCTTTCTAGCAACCAGATAGGTAGCATCAGTAGACGTTGCTTGGTGGGAGTGAGTGGGAGTGTG